TGTAGGTTGACATCTCTATCAGATCCGGCTTATTACTCATCTTCAGATTAGAGCTTCCAGACTTACTTGAGAGGTAGCGGTTCATTCCAGACGTGCCTTCAAGTTATCTATATTTACTGTTCTGTTATATTCTAGAACTTTACTATGAGACTTGTATATTTTATTCAGATTCTGTATCAGAGGTTTGTACATGTGACAAGCAATTCTGGGGTTATGTTGAGTTTATTTAAAGACTTCCGCTTATCTTTCTATCTTATTCTTGTTTTATTAATTCCTTATCGTCGGGTTTTTGGGTGTTAGACTGACGTGTTCGTTGGGGTTTAGGCACGTGCCATCACATCCGATTTTGGGGTGTGACAAAAAATGGTATCAGAGCCCAGGTTTGAAGGTCTCACATGTACAAACCAAGTCTTAGTAGAGTCTTGAGGATCGGTACGGAGACGTCTGTACTTATCTTCGAGAGGCTATGAAGAATGTTAGGAAATACTTCTTTTTTTCATTCCGTTCTTATCGTGCGAGGTTGTTATCGTGGGTGCTGAGTATCGCGTGTTGTTTTTTGCAGATGCCGAGGACTAGAGCTACCGGAGTTAGGGGGGAGACAGCCCCCGAGGTCAGAGTTGAGGCCCCAGCTAGGGGTAGAGGTCGGGCTAGAGGCCGAGGACGTGGTCGAGGCCGTGCCAGAGGAGCGGCACCTGCCCGAGGCCGAGGTATAAAGCCTTCATCTGAGCCACAGATTGGAGTAGCTGCAGAGCAGGCTCCTGCAGGCCATGCACCCCTAGTTCATGATGACAGACTCGACAGGATATTTGGGTTATTGGAGCGTCTTGCTCAGGGTGCAGCAGGTATACCAGCGGGGTTACAAACTGGGGTAGGGGCACAGGCCCTTGGTTATCAGCATCAAATTCAGTGGTTCCAGAGCCGGTGGTTCAACCACCACAGGTTCCAGCACCGGTTGTAGGTGTACTGGCGGCCCTTGAGGTGGCCTTGGCAGATGATGACCAGGTCTGCTATGAGCGGTTTCAGAAAATGAAACCACCTCAGTTTCATGGTGCTAAGACTGATGATGCTCACGAGTTTTTGACCTTGAGTCGAGAGATGTTGGCGGCGGTACGCATGTTAGATGAGAGGGGCGTCCGATTTGTGTCCCTTCAGTTACACGGTGTCGCTAGGGAGTGGCTGAGGACCTTCATGAGTTCAAGACCAGCGGGATCTCCTCCCATGGAGTGGAGTGAGTTTGCTAGTTTCTTCGAGGGTCGTTTCATCCCTTGGAGTGTACAGGAGGAGAGCCGTATGAGGTTTGAGAGTTTGGTGCAGGGTAGCATGTTAGTCGCAGATTACGAGGCTCGATTCTGTCAGTTGTCGAGACATGCCTCTTCTTTGATTTCAGGTGAGCCTGAGCGGATTCGCAGATTTGTCAGGGGTTTGACTCCCACTATCCGTAGTTATGTGGTTAGATCATCTCGAGAGGGTGCTTCCTTCCAGACTATAGTGAGTGCAGCCAGAGAGGCTGAGTTGCTTGAGCGGGATGATTTTGGTGGGCCCAAGAGGGTCCGTACAGGTGGTCAGTATTCGGGTACCTCGTCAGGAGGTAGGGGCCCACACAGGGGAGGCGGGTCCTTCCTGCGTCAGAGGCCAGTACATGCTTCATTACCAGCTATCGAGGGTGGGCCAGCAGCTCGGGGTCCTCCAGGTTCGGGTAGAGGTGGTTATAGCATTACTTCGGGTTCTTCACAGTTAGGATCCACACCGAGGTCTTGTTATGGTTGCGGTGATCCAGGCCACTTGATTCGTCAGTGTCCACATCAGACTCAGTCTGGACCACACCGTACTGTCTCCGCGGTCCCAGAGAGAGATTCAGCACCTCCGGCTAGAGGTCGGGGTCGGGGACCGGCATCTGGTAGAGGCGGATGAGCTTCGGGTAGAGGTACTAGTGGCGCCTCAGGTTCACAGAGTGGGGGCAGAGGTGCCCAATGTTATGCTTTTCCTGGGAGGCCCGAGGCTGAGGCTTCTGATGCAGTTATCACAGGTATCGTCTCAGTTTGTCATCGGCCTGCTTCCGTGTTATTTGATCCTTGTTCTACATTCTCATATGTGTCTACATATTTTGCTTCCGGCCTTGAGTTGACTCGTGATCGTATGTCTGTGCCTATTAGAGTCTCTACACCCGTAGGTGAACCCTTAGTGGTGAATCGAGTATATCGATCTTGTCTTGTTGTCTTATCGGGGTATGAGACTTGGGTGGATATGATTCTTCTTGATATGTTAGACTTTGATGTCATATTGGGTATGGACTGGCTTTCCCCCTATCATGCGCTTCTTGATTGTTATGCTAAGACTGTCACCTTAGCTATTCCGGGTATTCCTAAAGTGGAGTGAAGAGGGACTAGTGGTTCGTATCCCAACAGGGTCATATCTCATATTCGGGCTCAGAGGATGATTGATCGGGGTTGTTTATCTTATTTGGCCTTTATTCGGGATGTTGGAGCTGAGTCACCGGCCATGGAGTCTATTCCGGTAGTTCAGGAGTTCCCTGATGTGTTTCCCGAGGATCTACCTGGTGTTCCTCCTGTTCGTGATATTGACTTCTCTATTGACTTGGAGCCGGGCACCAAGCCCATATCTATTCCACCTTATCGTATGGCTCCAGCTGAGTTGAAGGAGTTGAAGGATCAGATTCAGGACTTATTGAGTAAAGGATTCATACGCCCTAGTGTGTCTCCTTGGGGTGCACCGGTCTTATTTGTGAAGAAGAAAGATGGGTCGATGAGGATGTGTATTGACTATAGACAGTTGAACAAGGTAACGGTGAGAACAAATATCCCCTTCCCCGTATTGATGACTTGTTTGATCAGTTTCAGGGGGCAGCCTTGTTCTCTAAGATCGACTTGAGATCTGGGTATCATTAGTTGAGGATTAAGCCTTCAGATGTGGCGAAAACAGCTTTTCGCACACGATATGGTCATTATGAGTTTTTGGTGATGTCATTTGGGCTCACCAATGCCCCTGCGACGTTCATGGAGTTGATGAATGGAGTGTTTCGCCCATACTTGGATTCCTTCGTGATTGTGTTTATTGATGACATCTTGGTATATTCCAAGACCGAGGCGGATCATGTTTGTCATTTGAGGGCCGTGCTACAGAAGTTGAGAGATGAGAAGTTGTATGCCAAATTATCTAAGTGTGAGTTTTGTCTTGAGTCAGTGGCTTTCCTAGGGCACGTGGTGTCTAAGGATGGAGTTAGGGTTGATCCGGCCAAGATTGAGGCGGTTCAGGGTTGGACTAGACCTACATCACCTACCGAGATTCAAAGTTTTGTTGGCTTGGCGGGTTACTATCGGCGTTTTGTTCAGGGATTCTCTACTATAGCTGCGCCGTTGACCAGATTGACTTAGCAGATGGTTCCTTTTCATTGGTCACCCGAGTGTGAGGCGAGCTTCCAAAGGCTCAAATCCCTATTGACTTCAGCACCTGTCTTGACTTTGCCAGAGGAGGGTGTTGGATTTACTGTTTATTGTGACGCTTCGGGTGTTGGACTTGGAGGTGTTTTGATGCAGAAGGGTAAGGTTGTAGCCTATGCCTCGAGACAGCTGAAGGCACACGAGAGGAATTACCCAACTCATGATTTGGAGTTGGCGGCTGTGGTATTTGTGCTTAAGTTGTGGAGACATTACCTATATGGTGTTCATTGCGAGGTATTTACTGATCATAGGAGCCTACAGTAAATATTCACTCAGCGGGATCTGAACTTGAGACAACGTAGGTGGCTTGAGTTGCTCAAGGACTACGACATGACCATTTTGTATCACCCCGGGAAGGCCAATGTGGTGGCCGATGCCTTGAGTAGGAAGACTCCTAGTATGGGGAGTCTTGCCGCGATCAGTGTTGAGAGGCGGCCTTTGGTTCGGGATGTTCAGAGGTTATTTGACAGCATGGTGAGATTTCGGGTTTCTGAGGAGAGTGGAGGTGTGTTTGCCTTCATTGAAGCCCGTTCATCTTTGATGGAGCAGATTAGAGAGGATCAATATAAGGATGGGAAGTTATGTCTCATCCGGGACAAGGTGATGAGTGGTGAAGCCAAGAAGGCTAAGATTGACTCCGAGGGTGTATTGAGGATTGAGGGCCGGATATGTGTGCCCAAGGTTGGTGATTTGATCAGATTGATTCTTGAGGAGGCTCATTATTCTAGGTATTCTATTCATCCTGGAGCGGCGAAGATGTATCATGATCTTAGTCAGCACTATTGGTGGTGGGGGATGAAGAGGGATATTGTAGAGTTTGTGGCTAGGTGCTTGACATGTCAGCAGGTCAAGTGTGAGCACCAGAAGCCTGGTGGTGTGACTCAGATGATGCCTATTCCTACTTGGAAGTGGGAGAGGATTGCTATGGACTTCGTAGTTGGATTGCCTACCACCGTGGGTGGTTATGATTCTATATGGGTGGTCGTCGACAGACTGACCAAGTCTGCTCATTTCATCCCGGTCCGAGTGAGGTATACATCGGAGAAGTTGGCTCATATTTATATTAGTCAGATTGTGCAGTTACACGGAGTGCCGGTGTCCATTGTGTCTGACAGGGGTTCAGTATTCACTTCTCATTTCTGGAGAGCATTACAGCATGATTTGGGCACTAGACTCGACATGAGCACAACTTTTCACCCTCAGACGGACGGTCAGTCTGAGAGGACTATTCAGGTGTTGGAGGACATGTTTCGGGCTTGCGTGATCGACTTTGGTACTAGATGGGATCAACACTTGCCATTGGCAGAGTTCGCCTACAACAACAGTTATCATACTAGCATTGGGATGGCACCTTTTGAGGCATTGTATGGTAGGCGGTGTAGATCACCTATTGGATGGTTTGATTCAGCCGAAGTGGACTCCCTTGGTACTGATATTCTTAGAGAGGATATGGAGCGTGTTCGTGTGATTCAGAGTAGGCTCTTGACTGCCTAGAGTAGGCAGAATAGTTATGCTGACAGGAGGGTTCGACCCTTAGAGTTCATGGTGGGTGATCGAGTTTGGCTTCGGGTATCGCCCATGAAGGGTGTGATGAGATTTGGGAAGAAGGGCAAGCTCAGCCCTAGGTTCATTGGCCCATATGAGATTTTGGAGAGAATGGGAGAGGTGGCTTACAAGTTAGCCTTGCCACCTAGTTTGACAGCCGTGCATCCAGTTTTTCATGTTTCTATGCTCCGGAAGTATGTTCCGGATGAGTCTCACGTGATTTCGGTTGAGTCGGTGGAGTTGAGTCCAGATTTGACATTTGAGGAGGAGCCTATAGCTATTTTGGACAGACAGGTTCGCAAGCTCCGAACCAAGGACATCGTTTCAGTGAAGGTTCAGTAGAGGCATCGATCAGATAGGGAGGCGACTTGGGAGTCCGAGGATGATATGCGGGTCCGATATCCCTAGCTTTTCGAGGCTTCAGGTACTTTCTTTTACTTTATGTTCGAGGACGAACATGGTTTTTAGTGGTGAATGATGTAATGACCCGAAAGGTCATTTTGGTAATTTTTCGTGGAAATGACTATTTTGCCCTTTCGGTAGTTGCCCCGAGTCCCATGTTTTGTGGTTGTAAAGTTGGTTTGAGGAAAAGTTGGTAAAAAGTTGAGTTTTTGAGAAGTTGAGTTTTTTATGAGTTAAAGTTGGTTAAAAAGTGTTTTTTCGAGTCATTTGGAGTTTTGGGACTCGGATCGAATTTCCGTCGATTCCGGAAGTTCTAGAATGTCGAAACGGGTCTGTGTGAAGTTACAGAGTCGAATTTGGAGTTGAAACGAAGAATTGAGGTCCTAAGTTGCTAAAGTTGTGAAATTTTGATAAAGAATTGACTTTGGTCAACATATGAGGTTCCGAGGCTCAGATTGAAATTCCGAGAGTACCGTTGGTTTCGGGAGGCGATTCTAAGTCTAGAATGAGTCTTGGTTGAATGTTTAGACGCTCCGTTTGAGTTTCGAATTTTTTTAGCGTTAAACTAGTTTCTTGGCATCTTATTGAATTTCGGGTTAGGGAGTCCTCGAATTCAAATTCCTACGGTTCCATTGAGTCTGGAACATCGAATTTAGTGGGGGTACATATTTAGTTTGTGTGCACGAGATTACGAACGAATCCCGAGGGTCCAACGGGGACTTAAACTTTGGTGTTATTGTTGTGTTTCAGCTGCAATAACAGTCCTTTTTAAGTAAAAAAAAACAGTAGCCATTTTCCCCCAACTTGAAAAATACCCATTTCTCCATTTTTAGACTTTGAGAGCTCGAAAATAGGTGATTTCAAGTGGATTTTCGCAAGGAATACATTGGGTAAGTTATTTCCAACTTATATCTTTGATTTCCATTGATTATTTATGGATTTTAACATCAAAATTTGAGATCTCAACTGTAAAATTTGGGGGTTTTTGCCTAATTCGAATTTAATAGAAAATTTGAGTTTGTGAACTCATTTCAACTCCTTTTTCGAAACGGTTTTCACTATTGGATTCTAAATTTCTTGGGGAACATTTTTCACTAAAAATTTCCAAATTTCGAGAATATTTTCCTGAACGAGATTTTTTTGACCATTTTACCCTTTTCTCCAAATTTCACGATATTGGTGTTGTTAGATTCGTATTGATTGTGAGATTCCATTTATGAATAGATTGTGGTGATTTGGAGCGTGCTCGGAATGGTAAAACTCAAATTTGAGTTACTAGTTGAAGTGTTTTGAGGCAAGTGACTTTTAAACTTTGTTAAACTCTTAGACTACACATGACTACTTTCCTAATTGTGTTGGGGAGTAATGGGGATTGAGGATGAGTTTTATTTGTTGATTGAAATTGTTGTAATTGAAAGATGGGGAATAAAATGAGCTAAATGTGTTATATGTGACTTGAATTTGTTGAATAAGTCATGTGATAACTGATATTGAGGGGATAGAAGAGCAGGAGTAGGCTATGATTGATACAGACAATGATGTTGAGACAGATGATGTGTAATACTATGATGTGGTCGTGATATGGTTGTGATTGAGACAGACGATGTGTAATACTATGATGTGGTCGTGATATGGTTGTGATTGAGACAGATGATGTGTAATACTATGATGTGATTGTGATATGGTTGTGATTGAGACAGATGATGTGTAATACTATGATGTGATCGTGATATGATTGTGATTGATGACATGTGCATATTCATTATTCATCCCATGTGTGAACTATCTGTTGCATGAGTTCTGAGACACTGATATGAGAATGGATGGATATGAGACACAGTTGAGACTAGCTCCGGCTAGAGATATATGAGATGGACTAGCTCCGGCTAGCGATTTGGATGCCGATGGGATCTGGTTCCGGCGGTGATACATGGTCCATGTGTGGCCCCCATGGGTTCTGATTTGAGTATTTAGCGCGGTCTGATTACGTCAACAGATGTGTATCTTAGGACAGACATGCATCACGACTACATGACATCATTAATGCATTTGCATCGCATTTGACTTCATCTTTGTCTGTGGTGTGTGGTTTTTTCCTGTTTGCCCCTCTTCATGTGATATATGATCTATGTGCTCTTACATGAGGATATGAGGTTGATGTTGAGACACTGTTGGATATATCTGTTGATTATGAATTGTGTAGTATAGGTTGTTGGTTCGCTGTTAGAATGAAGTTTCGGTGGTTCGGTTGGGATTGAATGGAGTTGTTTGTAGCTGCTAGTTTAGCTTAGTTTAGTGTTACTTGCGAGTACCTGTTGCTTTTGGTACTCACCCTTGCTTCTACACAGTTGTGTAGGTTGACAGCTCTATCAGATCCGGCTTATTACTCATCTTCAGATTAGATCTTCCAGACTTACTTGAGAGGTAGCGGTTCATTCCAGACGTGCCCTCAAGTTATCTATATTTACTGTTCTGTTCTATTCTAGAACTTTACTATGAGACTTGTATATTTTATTCAGATTATGTATTAGAGGTTTGTACATGTGACAACCAATTCTGGGGTTATGCTGAGTTTATTTAAAGACTTCCGCTTATCTTTCTATCTTATTCTTGTTTTATTAATTCTGTATTGTCGGGTTTTTGGGTGTTAGGCTGACGTGTTCGTTGGGGTTTAGGCACGTGCCATTACATCCGATTTTGGGGTGTGACAAGACTCGATGAAACTCAAAGACCAGGCTTGAAGTACTCATTCTTCCACCGTTGCAGCTTCAAATTTTCAGATTTGATTTAAGAGAGAAGAGATGAAGGGTAGATTTGGTCCCATTGGGCGTGCCAATTTGTTTGCAACAAATTTTAAACATATGGAAAATAAATAAACCACACAAATGAAATCTGAAGAAACATAACTTTATTGATAAATATGCGGGTACAATTCTGTTCCTTCCTTGATTCTACTCTCCTAAGATTTATCCATGATTTGAGGGCCATTAGTGGCGTATTTCTTGAACTAGGATGATTTAGATTTAACCTCTATATGAATATTCCATGACTCTTGTATAATATTCGAGATCTTGATCTTTAAAAATACCCAAAGAGTTTATGAGATATTTTGAGATTCCTTTTAAGGGAATTTAGTACCCTTTATATAGACATAAACTAAGGTTTAGGGTTAAGTAGCCTCCAAGAATTCTAATTGAAACTGAACACACCTTCTAGAGTCCCAATTCGAATTGAAAACGTCTTGTAGAGTCCGCAAAATTTCAATGTCTACAAATGCTCCCTGTTTCAAGGCCATTTAAAGTGTAGACTCGATGAAACTCAAAGACGAAGATTGAAGTACTCATTCTTCCACCTTTGCAGCTTTAGATTTTCAGATTTGATTAATGAGAGAAGAGATGAAGGGCAGATTTGGTCCCACTGGGCGTGCCAATTTGTTTGCAACAACTTTTAACATATGGAAAATAAATAAACCACACAAATAAAATCTGAAGAAACATAAATTTATTGATAAATATTCGGGTACAATTTTGTTCCTCCCTTGATTCTACTCTCCTAAGATTTATCCATGATTCGAGGGCCGTTAGTGGCGTATTTCTTGAACTAGGATGATTTAGATTTAACCTCTATATGAATATTCCATGACTTTTGTGGAATATTCAAGTTCTTGATCTTTAAAAATACCCAAGAGTTTATGGGATATTTTTTGAGATGCCTTTTAAGGAAATTTAGTACCCTTTATATAGACATAAACTAGGGTTTATGGTTGAGTAGCCTCCAAGAATTCTAATTGAAATTGAACACATTTTCTAGAGTCCCAATTCGAATTGAACACGTCTTGTAGAGTCCACAAAATTTCAGCAATAACAATAGACCGATTAAATCTAGGACTTTTTCTGAGCATCTTCTCCATAGAAATCCGAATCCAAACTGATAAGAAAGTGTAGATGAAATCTGAACTGAAAATAAACCGATGAAGAAGAATTTAATATGAAATGACGGATAAAACCTAAAGAAGATGAATTGAATATGAACTATTGAGAATAACTAAAGACAACAATGGAGAAAATATTTCTGCCAAAACTAGATTACATAAAAAGTAACAAAAATAAATGCTATGGAGAGAATATATGGTCAAATACATAAATAATTTTTTCTACATACATAGATTAACTCAAAAAGGAAGAGAGATAAAAAAAAAAAGAATGAAAAAGAATAAAACATGTAGCCATTAAACTTTAATTGAGAAGTTAAAAAATAAGTAAAAAGTAATGCCATATTTATCCATCCCCATAAATTATGCACATAATCCAAAAAAAGGGGAAGGTTGTTATAAATAATATATTGTGGATGTCCACTACATCAATAAGTTACTCTATTACTTTCCTCTATTACGAAGATAACCATAATCTCCTTAACTTCCACCTTTATAACCATTATTCTTGTAACCTTTCACTTCCATAATCTCCCCATTATATTCATGTTAATGTCATGTTTATGACTAACCTTTTGTATGCTTCTATGGTACACTATAAATAGAGGCATAAGAGTTCATATTGTATACACTTGAAGATTTGGTGAACACTTGAAATAAGAAAGTTATCTCATATTGTTCCTCTTGTCTTATATTTTTCTTGTCTTCATTTTTATATTATTCTTTTGTTCTTAAGTTTTACAACACGTTATCAACATGAATGTTCTACCATTGCAGGATTGAAGCAAAGTAAACAAAAGAAGGTAAAATAATTGTGTTTTATTTTTCTCTCGGGAGCAAGGTAATATTATTGTGGAATCTATTTTATATTTTACTTGTGAACAAGGTGAATGATTAATATTATTGTTACTGTGCATTTTTTTCCACCTATGACTATATATAGTTTCTTTTGTATGTGAAACTTATTTTATATTTTATTTATGATTATGCTCACTGTTTTGGTTATTAC